CTAGCTTTAGCCAGCTCTCTAAGGTCACGACCCTCAGACACAGCCAGCTTGTAGGCCTTTTCATCTAACACCAGGAAGCAGAGTTGTGATCCACTCACCTGAATCCTACGGGCCACCTGAGAGTGAGACAAACATAATAAAGCACTCGGTTACAAACCCTGACACACACGAGAAAAAATCATTTCTGTAGCTTGTACAGTAAAAAACATAAAGTAATTGCAAAATAAAGGTCATGACCTCTCACCTCCATGTGTTCCACATTGTCAACAAACATCTCATTGACTTCAAGCAGGCGGTCCCCATCTTTGAGCCCACTCCTCTCTGCCACACCCAGTGAATCCAGCTGCCTGATTATGTGACCCTGCCGCCCTCTTTCCACACGCAGATGGAAGCCAAAGATTTCTCCATCTTCCCTCTTCAGCACACACACACGTGGTGAGGGCTTTGACACAGGCTCTGTCAGCAAAGTCAAAGTTAAATGACGAACTGTACACTTTACGGTATATTATAAACTATCTGTCACTCTGATAATAAAATAATCCTATGCTATACACCCTGAGATTTGCATGTTTGTGGTTCTCTAATGTTGGTTAATGGCCACATGACATGTAAAGTATTTATTTAGTTAGTTAGATAGTTAGTTAATTGGGGTTTTATTTTAGCTTTTAATTTAATTAATTATTTTTTATTTCTTTATTTTTATGATTAAAGTAATTATTAGCTTTTCATCCACTCACAACTCCCCTGCAGTTCCCTCACAAACCCCCAGGGGTTTGCGAAATCCATCTTGGAAACCCTGTGGCTTCCAATTGTGGTATGAGCAGAAAAATGTATAAAAATACATAATAAAAAATACAGTAAAAATGATTGAAATCCTTATTAATTCCAATGTAGCAGCCAACACTATTAATAATAAAAAATCTCACTAACCTGTATCATCTGCAGTCACCATGGCTGGATTGTCTATTCCCTCCTTGGGATTGAAGGTAAACCTGATAACATAAGAGAATTAGTTTTTGCCCTCTGATAAGTTCTGTACACAACAGCCAATGAGATCCAGTGCACTACCATAAACAAGTCAATATACACTCCTCAGAGGTACTTCATTGACAGTATTTCAGATAGTACACTCAGATGAAGCCATAAGGTGAGGTGTGTCTGTCCATGTGCGTGCTTATCAAAGCAGAAAGCACAAAGTCAAAAGCTACCGTCTGTGTGGATGTGTGTCTGTGTAGGTACACGGGTCATAAAAACATAACTTACTCTGTCAGTTCCATGGGTCCTGTAGCACTGCAACTATAGTTGTGAGGGAGATGTTGATAAAATGTTGACAACCTCACAGCAAGGCCAAACACACCTCAAATTCCAGGATAAAAAATACAAATTCCTAGAACTCAAGATCAGTCATTTTGCCTTAAAGATTACATGTAACCTTGGGATTTCATAAACAGACCGTGACTCAGAAAATGTGGCTATAGCTCATCTGCTCTGACTTCCCCTTTATACTTTAGATTGGTCATCCATAGTGAGAACATGTGTTGTTTGTTAGCCAAAAATAATCAAAGTAGTGTTTGGCTTCAGTTGATAGGCTTTGATTAAACATCTTAGTTAAATATGCTTTGGATGTTTGCCTTGCTGGCAATACTGAGGCCACTATCTATTGCCAATCGACTAAGGATTTTATATGGTTGACAATCACTGCTTTATATTAAGGTCCAGCACATGTCAAGAATGGCAAGATGAATCATGTCACCGCATTCTGCACATTACTTAGTTTATAGCTTCATCTGGCTCATGGTCAATTTTAAGGTTACAGGTTAAAAACTAGAAATGTTATAAATACAAAGAAATTATACCATAGAAACTGGTTGTATTTTGTCCTCAAGCAATGATAAATGAACAGAACCCATGGCCTTGAGTTCACACAAACACCCAACCACTGATGGAGTCACCATGATTTACTATCAACCTAATAGTCAAAACATTTTATTTTCCCTTCAAAATAAAATCAAATAAAATTAGGGTTGCAAAGGGGTGGAACATTTCTGGTAACTTTACGGAAACTTTCCAAAAAATCTCTGGAATATTCCAAAAAATCCTGGAAAGTTTCCAACATTTCTGGA